AAAAAAAAAAAAAACAATCCATGGAAATTTTCTTTTTTAGTTCAATATGAACATTTTAGTGTTGTGATTCTTTTGCTTCATTTGATACCGACTGTCAGATTCACAATCCATTACTTGGTAAGCAGGTAAAACCCAAAGTTCTTTTTTTTTTTTCTTCTTGACATGCGCGTTGTGTGTAAAAAGAAAACAAACTCTCCTATGGGTACATGAGAGAGTGAAAAGGAGAGAGAAACGGAAAAAATTGGCCACAAAAAAAAGGGAAAACATGGTCATTATTCAATACCGTCTTTTTGATGAATATAAGCAAACACGTTTCTTTGTATGATTCTTTTTTTTTGTTTTTTCATTCTTCCCCTAAATCTTTTTCTTTGGGCTCATTTTACCGCATCTCTCAACTATCTACAGTACGCGATGGTTCTCGCGTTTCATCACGTGGCACTGAAACATCGACTCGTGTGGTTGATACTGATGGTGAATACATAAGCTTCCGTTGTTGTTGCTCCTGCAACTCTGTCAAAGTTTGGTCTAGGTGCAACTGATGTGTCTCAATTCTTTCTAACGCCTGTAACACTGCTCTCTCCATATTTTGAAAACGACGCTCCATATTATCAATTCTATCCATCAGGTGTTTCTTCGTAAAGACATATTCCCCACGATGTTTTTGTATTCCTAAGTTATTATTTTCGTCGTTATTGATCGTATCTGTCCCCGCACCTGAGGAATCCCGATGCTCTTCAATAGGATTCCAAGGCATAAAATCCACACCTTTTACACTACTAGCAACACCAATTGAACCACGACCAAATACAGGGAAAGCACTAGAGCGACGCGAACTCCAATTGCTAAAACCAATAGTTGCATAATCGTTCATTGAAGCATATACGTTACTTTGTTGTGGTGAATGCATTGGACTTGGGTTTTGTGAGAGAGTCTCTTCAATTGTTTCCCCACGCCAGAGCTGTGGTGATTTGGATCCTGGGCTACTAGGACCACAAGGACTGCTGGTGCGGTGTTGTTTGATGGAGGAGGGGGGCCTGCGATTCTGGCGGTACGACTCTGCGTTTTGAAGATCATTCTCATCACCATCCATGACGGGAGTAACCACGTCACGTTGCCAGAAACGCGCACTGTTGTTTAGGCTCCGATGTACGGGGCGGTGTCCACCTGAGGTGGATGCGCCAAGAGCGACGGATCCCGGCGTTGGGACTCCCCCGGCCCTCGGGGTGGCCTCCAACGACAGCGAGTCCCGTGAGGAGCTCTGGAGGGGCGGGTCGCCCTCGCGGGGGGAGGGGAGGCCGCGGCCGGAGGTCCCCTCGGAGGTCGTCACACTCTCCGACATGAGTCAACCAGCGACTCTCGTGGATTTATATATCTACTTTTTTTTTTTTTTTTGCACAAATGGGAAAGATAAAAGTGAAAGGGGAATAACGCTACAAAAAAGCAGTTGTATTCCCTTTACTCTTTCTTTCCTTTTTTTTTTTCTTTCTCTCTAACAAGGTGGTTTCTTTTTTTTTTTTAGAGTATCGGAACGTCTCTTTTCCTTTTTTTTTCTTCTTTCCTTTCGTTTTTTTTTTCTTTTTTTTTTCTTTCTATTGTTTGCTTTCCTCCCTCGCAAACACGTTGCTGTACCTATTCGTTCTTCTACTGGCGAATCCCCACCTCTTCTCCTGTTGTTTCGTCTTCTCTAAACTATGGACTCTCTTCTACTTCGTACTTTTTTGCCCTCCCAGAAAAAAAAAAAAACCTGCATAAAATCAAAAAATAGGAAAAGGAAAATTGTGTATATGAATGATAAATCATACAGATAATCATCTAGAATCAAAGAAAAAAAAAAAAAAAACATTCACTAATATCAATATACATCTTATTTTTTTTTTTTTTTCTCTTTCTTCAATTCGCTTCCAATCGCTCCAAAGCACGCGTTATGAATCTTTCAGTAGCGGCTTGTATAAATGGAAGATCTACCCGACGACGCTTGCGTATTTCCCTCGCTTCACGTAGCGCATCCTCAGGACGCACCTCATTTTTAGACTCACTAGCCATTGCCGAAGATTGACGCACATTATTGGGGTAAAACTCATCACTACGAGACCCATCATGGGTTGGTAATGTTCCTCCCTCTTCAATTCCTGTAGTCAAATTAGGAATTAATGATGAAGAAGATGCTGCTCCATTAAATGTCACATCATGGTTCTTGCCCGTTGCTGTCACGTGATTCATACTGCTCACAACAGATTCCTCCTCCTGCTCTCCAGGGATTGAAACCATTCCTTCATGTTCTTCAGTACCTTTTCGAACACATGCAGAGCTATTTAAAGATACAGAATGCAAGCCAGTAGTTGACCGTCTCTCTTCTAACTGTTGGAGATACTTCTCCAGTGGATCATCTTCCTCATCCTCCTGACCCTTATTTTCATCACTCTTATTCACATTAACACCACCCACTTCATCCTTCTCCGAGAAATGATGTGGATCCTTCTGACGCCTCAACGCTTCCATGTACTCTGGCGTAACAAATACACCTACTTCACGATCTTTTTTCACTAATTCCTCATCCTTTAATTCTTCCTGACGTTGCTTCTGTATTCGTCGCATACGCAGTGCTTCAGTAGCCTCCTTGCGTAACTGCAACGCTTCTGCAATAGATGAAGAAAAACGACTCCCCCCTGAATGAGGAGGATTAGATCCAGAGTTACCTCCACCTGTTCCTGCAGCTCGCAACAAGGAAGATCCAGCAACTTCCATACGCCAACGCTCTTCTGCCCGCTTCTTTTCATCCACAGTCAGTGTAAACCTAGACAAACCCTCGAATCGAATTCCACTCGAACCAACAGTCTTCGCCCCAAGACCACCAGCTACACCAGGCAAGCTTTCAACACCATTTTGCTTACATTTAAGATTACAATCGTCCTCAACTGTTTCATTCTCACAAGAAGACACAGACGAGCTCAAATCATCATCAAAAAGTGACATTATCGTCCAATACCTAAAGAAAAGACTACAAAAAAGGAAAAAAAAAACAATTCTTAACAATAAAAGAAAATACAAAACCAAATATAACACAGTACAAAGAAAAAATATTACAACTAAAAAACCAATACCCAACCGACAACGCCTGCAGCAGAGTACGAAGTGCCTCTCACAGTCAGCAAAAGACACAGAGAGTGAGAGAGAAGGACAGAGGGGAAGGGCGGGTAGTTATTACTCAGAGGATATGCTGTTGTACGTCAATCCAAAGGTCTGAAACACGGACCATATCAGATTCATCAGAGAATACAGGTGCGAAGTGTAAACATTATCTCGGGGGCAAATCACTCCGGTGGTCAACCAGGCACACCCAGTGTCACACGTACCATTTTCGTGTCAAAAGACAGAGGAGGGACACACACACACACAGAGAGAGAGAAATAGAAGAGAGGGGTGGAAGTAAATCAGCTCACGCTCGTCATCTGCGCGGTAAACCGCTCAGGTGGTTAATTCTGCTCTTAGTTGGAGAAGAGTTGGCGCTCCTCACTCATCATATTGTTCACAATTTAACAGGAGTGTGNCTCGGGGGCAAATCACTCCGGTGGTCAACCAGGCACACCCAGTGTCACACGTACCATTTTCGTGTCAAAAGACAGAGAAGGGACACACACACACAGAGAGAGAGAGAGAAATAGAAGAGAGGGGTGGAAGTAAATCAGCTCACGCTCGTCATCTGCGCGGTAAACCGCTCAGGTGGTTAATTCTGCTCTTAGTTGGAGAAGAGTTGGCGCTCCTTACTCATTATACTCTTTAATACTGGTAAACTAAAAGACAACCCTTTGGGGTTTAGGGATGCCGTGCATAGTGCCTGCCAAATGTTTGAAGTTCCATGTTATCAGAATGATGCCGAAGTTACGTTTTTTTTTTTTTTTTTTTTTCGTTGTTAGCACATCTTATGCGAATGTTTGTTGATGGTGGTGTTTCTATAGTCCTTTAATTGAAGACTAAAATGATCTTGTGAGAACAACGATACAATCGAATGTGAAATGAAATAAAATTTGTAATGTTTACTGACATAATTTTGGGGTTTAATCAGTGTTTTTTTTGTTTCATTATTATTTTTTTTTGTTTTTAAATGTTTGTTTCAATGGTGAATTACTCTTTTTTTGGTATTATGTGAAGCAATTTTGTTGGGAGATTTGGTTTTGCGTTGCTATTTAGTTCGGTGTGTACACGGTCCATGAGATGTGATTCCCATTCTGAAATCAGTGCATCCTCCCATTCTTGCTCCTCTTCCTCCATGAATTTTGCAAAGAGAGATGGTGATTGTGCCATCTTTGTAAATTCGGGACTTTTAGTATTGTACAGAATATCAGCAACGGCTCTTGCTATGGTGCTATTAGTGCCATTAATAACCGCAGCAGGACAGTGTATCTCTGCATGACGGAGAAGAATTACTTTTTCCCGTAAGAGTGATACACTTGAGAGTGAGAGTGCCGTTTCCACAATGAAAGCGGAATATACATGTGGACAATTAATTATCAAGAGTGTGTTCTGTGCACAGCGGATCCATTTGCGGCACCATGCTATAATGTGTTTCTGGGCAAGAAGACTTGTTGTGGATGAAAAGCGAGTGGCAATGTAACGATAAAATAATATAAATGCCTCACATCCGAGAAGGTAAACGCTGTGGTGTTGTCGTCCCATAACATGCAGAATATCCTGCATAAGTGTTTTTAGCTCTTCAAAGAAACCCTTTCCAATGATATTGCGAGAAGCCATAAGAAGTAAACGTTCAGCCTTTCGAGACAGTTCTGTTTCTCGTTCAAGTGGTAAATCACAGTCACGCCACTTTTCTTTACAAGAATGACATACCCAAGGTTCGTATGGTGTGAAGTATCTCTTAAGCTCAAGGCGGTTACTTTGATTGGATTCATTGTCCTTCGGTTGTTGATGTACATCTTGATATTGTTGACGATACCTCCATCCCTCTTCAATTCGACAAAGAGGACATGCAAATCCTCGTAAAAAATCGAACGCATTTCTATCATTAGTATGCCTTTCTTCTTCTACTTCTTCTTCATCTATGCCTTCTTTCTCTAGTTTTGGCTTCTGCATAACATCAGTTGGGTAATGAAAATAAATTTCTTTACCCGTACATCTCTCACACGAACATAATATTCCAATATTTGTTCTAATAGATTTTTGTCGTAAATGTGTTGGTAACTTCATCATCATCATTTGACGGGTTGTATCTATGAGAGAGGCCCAAATCGTATCCATTGTAAGTGGTTCGTGTGGTGCAATTTCACGCAAAGCTTTTAATTCACCAGTTTCACTATTCCAAATGCAATTCGGTTTACATGAATGTCGAAGTCGTGAGACAAGTTCAAAGAAACCCCACATATCTGATTTGAAACGTCGTCGTGAAATCACAGCGGAAAAGAAAAGGGATATTAACCAACAAGGTAATGATAATGATGGAGTGTCTGTGAGTAGTGTTAAATAGGTTGATGAAGATACCACTACGTCAGCTTCCATATATTGTACAGAAGGTAATTCCTCTACAAGTAATATTGAGATTGCCTCTCGTTCATCATCCATTAAATGACTAAACGTCAACTCTTTGTTTTTCAAGTTAATAAAGGAATCACACATAGACTTTAGACCTTCATCGTACAAAGAGGATTGTCTAGGACATAATACGGAAGGAAAATTACTAGACTTCCATGAAAGAAAAGGAATAGAATTAACTGCCACTACTTCACCACACATAAGTCGTTGAGATGATCGTGGTACCTCTGTTGTAGTCATAATAACTTTAGAATATTTACGAGTCCATAAATTCATCCGTTCATCTTCCAAGACTTGTTGAAGCAAAGAAACTTCTTTAGGTGTTCCTCGTAATATTATCTTTGCGAGACCTCGTAGTAATGTATTTAATGCTGTATCATGATCACGAAGAAAGAGTGATTGAAATTTGGCTTGTAAAAGTACAAATATTGTTATCCCCACAGGACTCACAGTTTGAGAAAAAACTGTTTCAAGATTGATACTCACCTCTTTTATGAGGAGAGATAAATTTTCATTTATAATACAAGTATTCATGTCATTAAAAGAATACAATGTATTTAACAGAGAAAGAAGAATTTCATAAGGAGGTTCTGAATCTTTTTCAAAAACTAAACAGTGTAGAATATATTTTAACCATTTCTTGAGTTTTTCCTCTTGTTGACGTTGTTGCCAAAATTCCTGATGTTTCTTAACTAACGACTCATGTGTAGAGGATTTATTAAGTGAGGCATCACAAAAATATCGATGTCCATACCATCCAACCTCTGCACAAGAAGCAGAACAGTATAAAAGCTTTAAACACTGTGGACAGGGAATAAAATGACTACATTTAATATCATTTTCACCTTCAGTATCGCTAACACACAAACAGGTAACACACTTCATTAAAAGAGTCGATAATAATACGTCAACTACTGTAATGAAGAAAGAAAAGTTAACACAAGAAAGAAAAAAAATAAGGGCGAATATTGTATAGAAAGTGTAAAGAGAGAGAGGTGGGGGAATAAATAAATAAATAAAATAAAACAATACATACAAAGATATTTTACTTCTCTTTTATAAGGTTATTATTGTCGATACTGACACCCATCACTACCTCCACTCCTTACCCACCCCCTAACACTTTTGATTTTATTTTCGTTTTATTCATTTCCTTCTATTTATATTCCTTCTTTCTTTCTTTCTTTCTTTCTCCCTCTCTGTTTGTGTATCTGGTATTTATTTTACCACTTACAAGCGAAAAAGTTTTGCTGTAATAAGGGCGAGTCCTGTAATCTTGCTAGGGGCGGAAAGATAGTCTACAGTACGTTCCCCACGCAAACCCTCACGACGGGCAGTGGGTGAAGTATACCAATAGAGCCAATTTAAATAAGAAAGGAAATAACGTCCATCGCTTGTGTGTATATCTGTGTGCATGCAATTACCAAACACTACACGTTCCACCGCACGGTAACGAAATGAGTTTCCAATCTTTTTGTGTAGAAAAGGGGCCTGTGGAAAATAGTACAATAGATCCAATGTGTTATTGTTTACACCAACAATATGAATAGAGTTGGGTAATTCATTCCACCACCATTCCCTAACTTGTCTAGGGGTAAACCTACAGTTAGAAGGTGCGTAAAGGAATGTAACGCTATAAAATTGTCGTAGAATTTCATTTACGTTGGATTGGAAATTACAAGATACATCATCTGCAGAACCACCAAAAGGAACTCTTCTACTTTTACTAGTAGTAGTAGTAGATGATGAGAGAGGAACCCACGAAACCCGCCAACGATCCTTTGTTTCTGGGGTAATATGTTTCGATAATAGTCCTTCAACTTCCTCCATTAAGGCCTTAGAGTAATGGTGGGAATCACTCTGAGGTGCCTCTCTTGTCTCTATTAGTACAGAACATGGTGTACAATTAATAATGATATTTGCCAAATAACGAATTTCACGTTTTTTAAATGATTCATTACCTCTCTTTGGTGGTAAAACCACAAGTACACTCTCCTTAATAGACCAAGGAGGTAAATAAGGACGAGAATTATCATCACTTAAAGATGATGTAATCCAACCATCCTCTATAAATTCTTCAAATAAAAATTTCACATAATCTAAAAGGAACGGATGATTTGTTGAAAAACAAACAGTACGTCCTTCTATAAAAAGTGATGAAAGAATCGCCGCATGCGCCATTATACAATAACGCGCTAGAGTATCATGATCAGGAGTAACGGGAACTCTAATATAAATTGGTGTACTAGCTAACTTTCCATTCTCATCTAATGGACATCCTTCACCACGGAGAAAATTATGATGATATTTCTCGTCTTCCTCATGATCCATAGCTAATGGTGAAGGAATAGCACTACGAAGTGCATCATTTACAGCCCAAGAAGGATTTTGGAGAGATGATATTTCTTTTAGAGATGTTTGCCTTTTACACAATGTTCGTTGAGCTGCGCGATGAGAAGATCGTCTTGTTAATTTCGCTGCTAGATCATCATCATCACTAGGTCTCACATACATTCCTTGAACAGTTCGAAGAAGACTTTTTGAATTTTTCCTACTACTTTGAAGATAATGGGATGCATGTTGATTATGAAGACTATTACTATCCATATTTATACCAAGTCGTCCTTTATTAATAGATCGACCCTGTATTTTTATTTTTTTCTTTGTTTCTTCCTCTTCTTTAGCTCCTTCAGGAAGCCATGCATGAGGTGCAGGTACTTGTTCTGCAGTACTATTAAGAGATTCATTCATCTTTACTCTCACTGTAGTAAATGGATCCACAAGCCAATCTGATATTCGCGTAGGAAATACATCCGCTACAACACTACTACGTAAACGATGTGTATTTGCAAATGGTAATCGCAATCGTGCAAATGCATCTTGCACTTCTCTTAATGAACTCACCCACATCATCATTGATAAACAAATTTGAAGACGCAAAGGATATGGAAATGCATGTACTAAACGTCTATGTTGTTCTATTCCTGCTGTTGAGATTCGTACTTTTTCACCATCTACAAACTTTGACACATCACTCGCTGCTGAAAAACGATAACGAAGCAGAGGACTCAAAAATGTCATAACAAGGCCTCTTATTCCATTTCCTTTCTCTTTAATCATTTCTTCTCTCTTTACAGAGGCCTCTTCTAGTAATAATGGAGTTCGTCTGCCTAGATCGATAAGCATAGTCCATTTCTCTACAGGGTCAAGATGGAGCCAATCACGAGCACGTAGGGACCTTCTCGAAGTACGTGAGGCACCACCAGTTGTACAATTCGCAACAACTTCACTGTTACCACTTGCACGACTAACGTGTTCACGTCTTTGAAAGTTGAAAAGAGACGCCGCAGATCTCATCGAAAAAAATGGTCGTCGCATATTCCCTTTTTAATGTCTTCTCTTTTTTGGTTTCTTTTTTTTTTTTTTTTTTTTTTTATTCGTTCAGGTATTTTTTTTTTTATCGACATCCTCCCCGCATCGAAGGGTGCCCGGAGTTACTGGGATAATGACAAGAAAAGAAACATAATGGGAAAAAATAAGAAAGAAACGGTAGTAATGTACAACTGTATAGATAAATAATAAAAGAGATGAAAATTTTAAAACAAGAAACAAAAAAAA